TTTAAATTATTAATTTTTATTGCTTAATATATTTTATATATAATTTAAATATAAAAATATTATAAAAAAAAACTTTAAATTTATATAATTAGCTAATTTAATAGTTTTTTAAAAGTTAAAAATAATAAACTTATTATATAATAAATTATTATTTTAAATAAAAATTACAATTATATAAGCTACTTTTATTTTAATAGTTACTATATTTATTTATAAATATAATCTTTATTTTAAGATTTGCTAATACAATTTGCTAATTAAAAACCCGGGCTAAAGGGCCAGGACCCCCTTCTATAAGCCTGGAGACGATATTAGTCTGGGCGGGTAACTGTTTTGATGTTATAGTTACCTAGGTAGGTTAAAAGTAGGTACTTAGTAGGTTCGCGGTTCACTATAGCGCCTCCTGCTCTAAACACTATCGTGGTATTAGCACCGCCACATGAGCTAAGTTACGACCATAATGAGACAATGTTAAATTACTCCAAGCCACAAGAGGTAGGTTCTTGGAACTCATTTACCCAATTCATACCCAGAAACAGCCAGCTTGTACTTGATGAGCATGGCCTTCAAGCGTGAATCATGATGCTTCGGAATTCCGCCCGATTGGCGGTTCTTCACGTATTCCAGGTTTGGCTTCCGTACGTCAGCGCAACCCAGTACGGAGAAAACCATGCTCCCGTAGAGAAGGACGAGGATCTCGTCGCCGCTCATTTCCCCGACACAGATGACGTGCTCCTATCGCCAGCTTTCTTGAACCCGCAAAGCGTACTCGACGGCTTCAAAAATGGCACAGATGGCCCAACAGATGATGCGACACTCGGTAAGTGAACTCATTCAACAGATTTAAGAAAGCCACTTACCGGATACGGTCAGACAAGTTCCTGCGATCAATCACCGATAGAAACGACTGGGTCGACTATCGCCTAGCCGATTTCACATCTGAAGAAGGTCGTTCATTCCCATACGTGTATCTATCGCAAAATTCGCAAGCACCAAGCAATGAGAACGCCAAGAAGCTTCGGGTCTGGATTCAGGGAGGCGTTCACGGCAATGAGCCAGCCGGTGATCAGGCTGTATTGGCTCTTCTTGGGAAACTAGATTCAAATGAAACATGGACGACATCGCTCCTTGAAAGAATGGACATCCTTCTGTTTCCTCGCTATAACCCCGATGGCGTGTCTTATTTCCAACGCGATCTCGCGTCTAATCTTGACCCCAACCGCGAGCATACGAAACTCGCTCGGTGGCAGTCCCGGTCAATCAAGCAGCTACTAAGCTCATTCTCGCCTCATATTGCCGTTGATATGCATGAGTTCACTGGAACTCGTCTGACCGATGGCCGCTATAAACATGGCAGTAAGAGAATTCCGTGTTTCGTCACTGCTGGATTGTCTGCTGATTGTCATTATCGCAGTGGATGCACTAATCGCGGCTGGCAAGAATCTCAATACACATGAGGATATCCGAAATATGTCGGAGAATCTTTTCGCATCTGGTATCGCGAAACGACTAGAAGCTGCCGGATTTCGATGGGAATCATACTTCACCATGGCGTGGAGCGATGTTCCCGGGATCACACTCTTGGAGGCGGGAAGCGATGCAAAAGCTGGACGTAATAGCTTCGGCTTAATGCAGGCGATAGGTATCCTTAACGAAGTTCGTGGCATCCGTCTCGCAGACCAACACTTCCAACGGCGCGTATCGACTGCACTCACGATGGTATCTGCTATTCTTGACATCGCCCTGGAGAACTTCGATGAAGTTTATTCTACAGTGAGTAGTAAATCGACTAAGAGGATATCGATGCCTACTAAGACCATATAATATAGGTTGAAACCGCGATCGAGAAATTCATCGCTAGTGATGACGACATTATCCTCACTGACTATCGAAACCCCATGAGCCGCTCTGTCTCATTCATCGATGTGACCAATGGCAGCTTGGTTCAGCTTCCTACTAATTGGCTCAGTACCACTCCAACGATCGCAAATCTGACTAGGACACGCCCAGAAGCGTACCTGATTCCGCGAACATGGTCGGACCTTGCCATCCGCTTAAATGAATCTGGCGTAATCGTAGAGACTCTCGACTACGAATATCACGGGACCGTCGAAGCACTGAAGATCACTTCAGCGTCTCCGGCACAAGCATACTATGAGGGCGCAATTCAGGTCACAGTGACCACCGAGCCGTATGAAAGAGAGGTGCGCCTCCCTGTAGGCAGCTTTCGTATTAGCACGAGACAGAAGAACGCAGCGCTAGCTTTTGTCACTCTCGAGCCTGAGAATATCGACTCCTACGTTCGATTTAATCTCCTACCGGTCTCAACTAGAGACGAGTATCCTATTTTCAGGGAGCTGTCAGCGCCAATCAAACGAGGCCGGCCAGATGAGCTATAGCTGTGGTGTTACACCGTACAATATCGCCACTAGGCATGTCCGGTATACTCTTTCTACGACCACTCCCATCAGTTCCGCCATAGCGCCGACTCGTAGCCTCCCTCGTGAAGGAAGACTTGCCCAGGCTACTACACCAGACACGGATCTAGCAACTTTAATCTATAGTTTTTCGCTGCCCTCTTCTATATTGCTTGTACTACGAATACGTATCCCGCTTGCAAAGTGCTTAACTAGATAGCGTGCCTAGATCGTCCTAAATCACATTTCCCTCATCATACTAAAGTAATCTATCGACTAATCATAACAAATCCCCCAATAGGAGACAACTAAATGAGTCCTCCCTCGCCGCCATAGTCCTGTCATATCCTCCATTGTGATCGCCGCCGCCGCCATTGTCGTCATCATAATCCAGCCGACAGATCGCCAACGTGCACAATTCAACACCCCCTCCAATATTTCGCATAGGCAACACACAGATGCATATTTAGATTACGGAGGAGTGTCCCAGATGTCGTAGCGTGAGCCAATGATACACTTGCCCAACATAAGCAGATCGTCGCTAGTTGCGCCTTTCGCGGAGAAGGGCTGAGTGTGGGAGGAGGGGATCTTTTCCTAATGAGACTATGGCATACTGCGAGCCTGCTGCGAGTAAACCAACACCACCTATCAGCATCGTGCGGCGTCTGTAGTTGGTAAATTAAGAGGTCGCCATTCTCCAAAAGATCTCACTTTATCTGCATGTGAAGTAAGAAGATCGATATATGCTATTGTGATGATGGAGTTTCTTCAGAGCCGCATCCTCCGCTCCCTTTTCCACGTTTCCTTCCTTCTTTCCGCTCATTTATATATGTTACTCAACCCAATTCCCCCACCTCTTTACTATATCGCACCTAAGAGAATAGTTCACGTACCACGATGAATGACCCAGGTCTCTATATCTCATTCGGAGAATGCTTCTACGGAGAAGGGCAGATATCGGACCCGCGCTTCATCCCATGTGGTAACGCAAACCTCTCGGGTACACAGGCCTGTTGCTTCGAAGGAGACTTTTGCTTAGCCGAGAATGTATGCTACGATAATGACAGTATGTCGGATAGTATTATATACATATACCAGTCGTAAAGCTAACCTAGGACATAGCATCCGTGACGTACATCACCGGCTGCACGGACGCGACGTTCTCATCGTCCAAGTGCCCGCACAAAGCCGGATACCCCGACCAACAATGGGTGGCTCTAGCGCGATGCGATGGAGACGACATCGACTTATTCTCAGGCTGCGCTCATCACGGGGATGAGGTCGAGATCAAGCACGAAGATTGCACGTGCGACGCTGCCTCGGCCCTTATCTCGAACCCCATCAAAGGACAGCCTACTCTAAATCAAATCGGGCTCCTCCCGACAAGCGCCGGCGGGACAATATCCTTCAACCCGACCGCGCTCCCCACTGCTACGTCGTCCTCGTCCAGTTCACACTCTGGAGGTCTCTCGACGGGCGCCAAGGCAGGCATCGGCGTCGGAGTCGGCATAGGTGTGCCGGTAATAGCAGCGACCATCTTCATGTTCTTCTTCCTACGCCGGAAGCAGAGGCGGACCCGGCAACAGCAGCAAGAACAGCAGTCGCACCAGCCGCGCTCAGAGCTGCCTCCCGAGGTAGCCCATAGCCCAGATGGGCTGATGAAGCAGCAGCGCTCGCCACCGCCAATGTACAGCCCAGACTCGCAGAACGCGCAGTACGGGTGGCTCCGGCACAAGCCCGAGCTGCACGGCGAGTCGGCGCACAAAGTCGAGCTTCCCGCAGGAGCGGACGTGCAGAGCGACGGTGACGTGAACCGGATGAACTCGATCCAGAAAACTCCATTTGAGATCTACCCGCCTAGCGAGTATAGCGCGGACAGAAGCCAACGTGGGAGCGAAACCCCCTCCTTGTCGTTTATTTCACCCCAGAGCACAGGAAGTACAGAGAAGCCACATCCAGGGCCTGCTACCGGCCACCAGAGAACTGGGTCCTCTAATATGGATCCTATCTCCGAGCATCACTTTAACAATGAGCAATACAGATAATGAAGCATCTCGTCGCCGGCTTCCATGAAGTCGAAGTACGGATACAGTGGAGCATAATATCAAACACATCTTATTCTTTTTTTCACTTCGTGTTATATATTCATGTGTTCGTTACCATTAGGACCGTTTGGGACGATCTTTGCCAGTCTTTCTCCTATAGTCAAACGCTTTAAGCCATGCATTGTCGATACTTTAGGTACATAAACAGAAGAAGGAGAGACTGGCTGAAGCCTGCGCAGGCCGACGGTTTGCCTATGAATCTATTAGTATTTAAATTTGCCGCTCTCTAAGTTGGAATATGTGCAGGCGGGGTAGGAAGTAATGAAATATATATATATATATACAGACATCAAATAGGACTGCCTCATTTTCATTGTATATGCAACATAATTATAGAGAAAGATTTTTAATCGAATGAATATGTAAGAATGCCTCCTTGCTTCGTCGTACTTGAGTGTGTGAAATAGAGAGAGCATGAAAATATTATTTATACTTACGAGTAACATTCGTAATGTTAAAGGACAAAAGAAGAGAAGTCAGCCCATCCTTGGATTCGAACCAAGAGCTCCCTGCACGTTCCCATCGATCTTAATAGCCTTTCCACAAGGTGGCGAAGGCGCCAGTCCAACATTGTCAGGGCGTGTTACCATTACACTATGATGGGCTGGTTGTTGGGGGAAGGTACGCTGTTGCTGCATATAAAGAATGGGCCGAGAGGGTTGTTGTAGCGCCGACTTGATTAGGGAGTGTTTATTCACTTCGTTAATACGTTGACAGAAACCTGACTGGCTAAGTTGGGGGCAGGCAATAGACGATGCATAAACAGGAAGCTCCTAGTGGAGGAGCTCCTCGAGCAACTACCTTCCCTTTTCCTATCCGCGACCCGTCTAGTCGTATTACTGCGATAGCAGGCGGTAATTAGTTATAATGGCCATTCTGAGTGCTGAGAGAATAGGTTAAGCGTACGGCCGGGAGGCAGTTATAGTGTATACATCCTACCACCATTCGAGTAAACTCGATTCATAAAATCATAAAGTGAGCAATATTCTAATGGTTACATATTTACTGCTAAATTATACATTAGATAAGAATATCCATAACGCAATTCCTTGTTTTATTGGATTCTTAAAAGCTCCTATAGATGTTGCTACAATGTGATTTCAATCCCCTACTTTTCCCTCCTTACTATATTATCGATGAGACCAAATCCCTTCACCACAATTTATAAGTTTTATATAGCTTTAATCCCCTCTCCTCCCCCTTTTTTCTTCTATTCATCTAAATTACATTCTTGTCTGACACGGGTAGATAGCGTCAGGACGCAATATTCTGTATGCATTGCTCACCGCATTTATTCCAATAGGACTAATGCATAACGCACACCGCATATCACAAATTAGTCTTAACAGAACGGCTTTCTTTGCCGAGCGGCCTAAGTTGTAATCATAGAGATTCAGCCGCACTTAATTCCGAAGAGCGAGGGACTGTTTACTTCGCAGCATAGACCAGGCAGAGCATAGACTTAACATTGACGCCGAACACTCAATTAATAATCCAAGTTCTCACCTTATAATGGTAACTACTCAAACCTAGGGGATCTTAGGTAATCTTGTACGAAAAAAATTAGGGGTTGAAGCTCAAATGACTGTTCAACAAGTTACCCTTAACCCTCTGGAAAACGAAGACGGGAATACTATCCCCCAGATTACCAAATCCTAGGATGCACAGATGCCACATTACGTATTCTCTTCCTTCAATTGAGCAAGATAATCTCCCGTAATTCTGCACGGCCCCTTAGTTCACAAATCGCTGGAATGCGAACCTCTTTGGCCGATACAAACGGCATAGCTAGATTGTATGATGCTAGTGGTGATGGTTGGCGGGGATGCGGGCAGGATCCGGACGGCGTGGAACCCCTCCTCTCGTCTCTCTCGCTTATAAGACCGAGCCGAAGTGCCGAGATCCCTCAAGGTGTAATCAAGATCAGGGCCGGGGCCGGGGTGGCTGCTACGCATGTATGTAGGTTAGGTATGCACAGGCGTCTCCACCAAATAGTCACAAGACAGGCAGTGTCAGCATCATTCAACGCGCGAATGAATAAAGGGTCCCCACAGAATCCGTGGCCCAAGGAGGAAAAGTTCGGGGTACTTTCGTCTTATTCCCGCGTTTGCTATCTTGATGGGCCTGCGTCCCAATGGGGTGTTTGGTGACACTGAGCCCTGGGGTTCGGTTTCTCAGTTAGGAATGTCCCATGTGTCCCCGGGAGCCGGAGGTGTCGTGGGCATTGATTTTGTGGTGTACTTCTGTGGTGTGTAATGCACGAGGGTGCAAGGGACGGATACGATGCTGTTCTACAGCAGTAACGAGTGGTTTGACAGCATAATCATCGCAACCAATACCGGCAAAGCAAGTCACTTATCAACAAGGCATAGTATACTCACTGATTGGGACTTTCTATGACCAGGCTTCTCTCCTAACGCACGGCCATTTGTCATACTATCTTCGCTATACCTCTATACAAGTCGAACCAGACTGTATAAGAAGCCGAGGTCCGTAGCTCCTTCCCTCCCGATCTCGGTTGTTCACGGCTCTCCCACTCAACAGCTATCCAGGTCACCATAGTTTTAAGTAGCTATTCGCCACAGTAATAATAGAACGGTAGATAAGAGAGGAAGAGAGAATCACAAGCAAGAACATGTCCGGCGAGTTTCATAAGGAAGAGGAGCTATTCCCCACAGCTGGGCTATCAGAGCAGCAGCGGCAGCATAGGCGTCTAAGTGACGGGGAGACGTCGACAACGGACGAGAAGAAGTCGGTGGACGACCCCGTTTCGCCCACACTTACGGTTCCGTCGAAGGCCCACGACGGCGGCGACCTAGGAGAGAAAGACGGGGACGATGGCGGCCCCGTCCACCCAGTGCGGTCCACTACCTCGTCGACGCGGCCTCGGCATGCCATCCCCGTCCCGAAGGAAACCCGGAGAGGGTTATTCCCGTGGCTGTCGCTCGTCCCAGAGGTCGAAAAACCCTACTACTACACCAATGGCGTAAAGTGGATGTTGACCATCGTCGTTGCTGCCGCTGCGTGCGCGGCACCCATGGGGTCTGCGATAATCTATCGTTAGTCTTCTCTCTCCTCTTCTCTCTCCCCTTATACATACACATACCTATACCCCTAGCATCTCACCCCTCCGCTCCACTCATACATGCATGGCATCGTCGATACTAACGACCCCTAGCTTGCCTCGGTGAGATCGCCGCCGATCTGCACGTCTCAAAGACGGTGGTGAACCTGTCCATCGCGGTGTACATGGTATCCATGTCCATCTTCCCCCTTTGGTGGTCGTCGTTCTCGGAGACGCTGGGCCGCCGCAGCATCTACCTCGTCTCCTTCTCGCTGAATGCGGTATTCTCCGTCGCGAGCGGGCTGAGCCAGAACATCGCGCAGCTGATCGTCTTCCGGCTGCTCGCGGGCGGTGCCGCGGCGTCGGTCCAGGCCGTTGGCGCTGGCACGATCGCTGATATTTGGGAGCCCCAGGAGCGTGGACGCGCTATGGGAATCTTCTAGTGAGTTGCCGCCTGAGTCGTTTTCTTCCCTTTCTAGTAACTTGAGGGCTCCTGAACCGAAATGTCTCGAGAGCACTACAACTGTTTAAAGGAGTAATTACTGACTCTAGCGGTTATAGTCTCGGCCCTCTAACTGGCCCGTTGCTTGCACCTATCATCGGTGGCGGTTTGACGGCTGGCTTTGGCTGGCGCAGCACTATGTACTTCCTCGCCGTGTTCGGCGCCGTCATCTTCGCTCTCGTCCTGTTCGGCCTCCCCGAGACGTTGCCTCGCAGGCGCCAAGAGCAAGCCACGCCGCCAGCTCCGACTCCGGCCCCCGACAACGATGCGAGCAACAACACCCTCTCGCGCGTCTCAACCCGTGCCTCGGCCGTGCAGGCCCGCACAAAATCAGCCGGTCGATGGATGAAGCGCATCTTCGTCGACCCTTTATCCATCCTCAAGCTGCTGCGCTTCCCCGCCGTAGCGCTAGTCGTGTCCTACGCGGCCATCACCTTCGGATCCCTCTTCGTGCTCAACATCTGCGTACAGTCAGCCTTCTCCGCCCCGCCCTACAGCTTCCCCCCCGTGATCGTCGGCCTGCTGTACATCCCGGGGTCTCTAGGCTACTTCATCGCCTCTCTCCTCGGCGGGCCGTGGCTGGACCGCATCATGATCCGCGAGGCGCGCAGGGCGGGGCGGTACGACGCGCGCGGGAAGCTCGTGTTCTACCCGGAGGACCGCATCCGCGAGAACGCGTGGATCTCGTCGGCGCTGTACCCGGCCGCGATGGTGTGGTTCGGGTGGACGGTGCAGACGCACCAGCACTGGGCCGTGCCGAGCGTGGCGAATTTCTTCTTCGGCGTCGGCAGCATGCTCGTCTTCAGCATGGCCACGACGGTGCTCACCGAGTTCATGCCGCGCCGCGCCAGCTCCGGCGTCGCCGTCAACAACTTCGTGCGCAACATCCTCAGCGCCACGGGCTCCGTCGTCGGCCAGCCGCTCATCGATGTTATTGGTTTCGGCTGGCTGGCCACGGGCGTCGCGGTCATTGCGTTTGTGGCGGGCAATACGGCGCTGCTGCTCCTCAGGCGCAATAGTCAGAAGTGGCGGAAGGCGATGAATGAGCAGATGGGCTAGGGGAGGGGAACAAAAAGAAACATGTGATATGATAACAAAGCTGCTTTTGATTCTGGGCGGGCGGGCGGGCAGGCGGACGACTAGCTAACGACAGTTCATGAAAAACGGCATATACTTAGAGGCATTGCATTTGGAGGTGGCAGTCATCGATATACTCAAGCGGGGGTGGGTAGGTTATTGATAGAAAATATTCATGAAGCATTGTTACGAAATTCCATTTTTAATGCACAAACCCTCTTTTACCCCTCGTTGTAGGTCACTCGTTTGGCTCGTCGCACGGAACCGTAAGACCGCTTGTAAGAACTAATAAGCGGTGCATCTCGCTCGTATCTTTCCAATTCTTCTATACCTCCTATCTCTATCTAACACCACCATCTATTCCTCATCCTTAGGCGCAAACAGCCTCCCAAGCGCCTCCAAGCTCACATTGCCCCCACTAACCACAATGCCAACATCCCAGCCCTCCTCTCCCGCCTCTCTCTCCACCATAGCCCTAAAATCCTCATTATACAGCGCCACAGCAAGCGGCACCGCCGAGCTCGGCTCAACAACCATCTTAAACCGCTCGTAAATGAGGCGCAGCGCAGCCACGATCTCGTCCTCGCTGACGCTGTAGAAGCCGGCGACGAGCCGCCGCGTGTAGATGATGTCCCAGGGGACGACGCCGACAGGCGTCCGCAGGCCGTCCGCGACAGTCAGCGTCGACACGGCTTCCACCCGTCTGCCGGACTCGTACCCCCGCTTCGCGTCATCCGCGCCCTCGAACCACGGCTCGCACCCGAAGACGCGGATCCCGGTCCCCTCGCACGAGAGCGCCACGCCCGAGAGCATGCCGCCGCCGCCGCACGGCGCGAGGATCGCGTCGAGACCCGGGTGACTCTTCTTTCTTTCGGGGAGCCTGGGCGTCGTTATCGGGGCTCTGAAGCCGACTTCGGCGGGTAGTACCGTGCCGTGGTTTTCTGACTGCGATGGTGAGGACT